TAAGTCTTACTACATGAACTTATGAACTAAGTCTTTATAAACCAGTTCTAGGACTTGAGTTAACCTAAGTCCAGTCCAAGACTTAGTTCCAGAACCCAGGACTTGGACCAAGAACTTAGGTTCACGATATATTGTATATAAAGTAATTAAAATCTACAACACAAAGTAAAAGAGGATATTATAATGCAGGGCCAATTATGATGCACATATGATATCTTGTGATCCAGAGATCAGAATTGGATAATTTTATTGCCATTCGATTCGTCTTATCGAGACGAATTGAATGGTGGTAAAATAATCTGTTTCTCTGGATCACTTTTATTTATAAGTTTTAATTAAAACAATATAAAAAACAATCGTAATACATTAATAACTGATGTTTTTATTAAGTAATGACTTTCATTATCAAGACAATTTTGTTCACCATAATATACTCTACATACCTCTAAATTTTTGTAAAAATCTGATAATTTTTAATTAATTGACATATTTAAAAAACTTTTTTGCATCATAATTCATTCCTTTAATGCAGAAATGTGATTTATAAAAATCAATTAATAAAAAATTATTCGATTTTTAAGAAAATTTAAAGGTATGTAGAATTTATTACGGTGAATATAATTGTCTTAATAATGAAGGTCGATTTAGTTAATAAAAATCCGGTATTAATGCATTACGTCTGTTTTTTTAGTTATTTAAAAGTTAACCATTAATTGCTTGTATCTCGTGATTAAGTGATCAGAATTAGACAATTTTGATACCATTAGATTCGTCTCAATGAGACGAATCGAATGTTATCAAAATCATTCGATTTTGATCGCTAAATCACGAGATATCACATGTGCGTCATACTTGGTCCCTGCGTCATAATTTAAAAAATTTTTTTGCTTTTATTTTAATTTGTGATATCTTGTGATCTAGCAATCAGAATCAAACAATTTTGTTGCCATTCAATTCGTCTCGATGAGACGAATCAAATGGTAACAATATTTTGATTCTGATCTCTAGATCACGAGATATTGACGGTAAAAGTTATCTGCGTCATAATACCTTCTTTTACTTTATAAGATAAATGTACTTATTTAATAAATATCTGTGGACACGGGGTTTTTCACAGAATAATAGTAAACCATTTGGCCGTAGGCCACGTGATTTTACTATTATTCTGTAGAATACCCCGTATCTAAAGATATCTATTAAATAACAAGAAAATACACTACGTATTATATTTTTTTTATATTAGGACTTTTTTAAGGACCTACGGACTTAGGTCCTAAAATCAGGACCTGGTCTATAAAAATTGGGTCCAAAGACCAGGTCCTAAAGTCACGGACATAAGGGCTTTGCCAACCCTAGTGATGATATTTGAAAGCATCATGTTTCTATATTTAACCTAAATCAATCGAAAAATCATTCAATTAATTTTTATCAGGTGTCCCAGTAGGGATGTTAACAGTTTAGTTCAGTCTGACTTGGTTTATTCTTAGTCCAATTCATTCTGGTCTTTTTTTGGCTTAATTACAGTTCATTTCTAATACTGTTTAGAGAGATAATAGTTCAAATTTACAGTCTGAATTCATAATAGAAGACTGGTCTTAAACTAATCTTTAAAATAAGAGAGTGTTTGTGGTCCAGACCTTCAATCAAAGTCTTTATAACATATATAAAAACTAGTCCAGAATAGTTCTAAATAAATAAATCTTGAAACCATAATTAGAATCATAGCTTTGTAACCAGTCTTAAGATTGGTTTAATATCACAGTCTGAATTATTTTAAGACCTAATAAGATTAACTTTTTACAGGGTCCAGACTAGATAGCATCCCTATAATGCATTAATTTACTCCGTAAATATAAAAAATATTTATTGAAATTATCGAAATAATAAGAATAGATATGACGTTTAATGGATGAATAAATAGAAATAGAAATTAGTGATTACAGGAATAGATCTCTTAACTCATAGAAGGACTACCAAAAAAATGAAGATCGGGAAGCGATTGTTGGGTAGATGTCAGTGAAATGTGTTTGTCAGATGTATGTGGTGTATTCCTCTATTACTAAATAATTAAATTCCAAATCATCTAAATCATAAAATGCTAAATCTTGAATTATTAAATGCTGAACATTAAATGCTAAATCTTAAAAACATTAAATGCTAAATCTTAAAACTATTAAATGCTAAATCTTAAATGTTAAATCATTAAATACCAAACTGTTGATAATTATTTATATCGACAAGAAATAATTTAACTTCACTGAGAATAAATTCTATTGGCAGAGTAAAAGTCACTCTAAGATTAGTGATACCTCCATTGTGTATGCCAATCAAATGTACATAACGCAAATCTTGTAAAAAAGAAAATACAGGCCCTCCACTATCACTTTTAAGTGTGTCCAAGCTTGCAGTGATTAAGTTCGTTGTAATACCATTGGAATCTATCAAAATCCCATTTAACCCCTTCGTATGCCCACAAGAAAGGTGCGTAGCTAAACCAGATTTACATATATGAATACCATGACTATATATTCTTCTATATCCATATATAAATAATTCTGGATATTCTTTATAATCTATATTCATAATATTCGGCGATGGTTTAATATTTTTACCCGTTGCCTTAATTAAACCAAAATCGTGTGGTTCTGTACTAAAATAGACTAATGTTCCAATAAAGCCTGCTCTAAGATCTTCTTGTGATTTATTGGCATTCCATGGATAATGATAAAAACTATTAAGCTTATCTTCGTTTATACGACAATGTCCCGCAGTTACAATGTAATTCAAATTTGTACTTGCATTTCTTGCCCAAAAACCCGCTGAACATTTAGAATCACCAACTCTATTATATATACCATCTCCATTAAAAAGCCTTGTAGAAATGCTACGTTTGGCATCTTTACCTTGACGTTTATAAATACCTAGATTAAGTGGATTTCCTGTCTGTGCATAAATTACATCCGAGTTATAATCTTTGATTGTGTCTATAAGTTCCATATTGCTTGAACGATTATCTGGTACAAGTATAACGTTGTTATTAGCCTCCATATCAGTGTAAACGTAAATGTTTAGCGAAGTATCGACATTTATTCTAAAATCTTCAGCCTCTTTTATTATCTGGTTAAATAAAGTCCTTAATTCATGTAAGGATTTATTTTTATTTGCTGGTTCAAAAAATAAAAAATTCCTATAATCATATATCTGAGGTGAAAATCTTATTTTTTCGATCATTTCTGGATCTAATGTCTGGACAATTATAAATTCATTCTTTAAATCTATGTAAGATCCACCAAAGCTCGTACTATATTGATCTAGTAATGGCTGTAAGATCATGTCAACCATTATTAATGTATTTTCAAGTGCCAATAAGTTAGGTACCACATTTACGTCTACCTCCCATAATTTTGCTAAAGGGTGTTGATAAATTTTCGAATAACTTTGGAATGTAAAAATGAATAATAATAAACATAAATTTATATATACGTAAATATATTTCATCATTACGAGATTTAAAAATTATTATAGTGATGGAAGTGGAATGACAAATGTATATAAATAAGCTCGATTTTTAATATTGTTTTGTGGAAGAAGGTAGAGTTAGTGGTGCATACGGATTGTTGTAACTTGATTATAACAATACAAAAAATTACGCAGATTATTTTTATATGAGTCAAATGACTCGTAATTAATTAACGCGATTATGCATGCACCAGCAGGTTGCGATGGGGTGATAATCATAATATTAAAATCAAACATTAATTAGGGTCGCATCCGAATTTACTGCGGATAATATCACTTCCGGTGTGCTTTTCTCTGAACTAGTATAATAATTCATGTCTAATTTTTTTTAAAAGATAAAGCAAATTGTATGCTTTAATGTAATAGCGACATTTTTTCGATTACGCTATTTATAGTAGGGATGGGTTCGGTCGGTTACGGTCGGTTATTGGTCGGCTATTATCGACTATCGACTAAGAGTCGACTATAGCCGGCTATAGTCGATCAATGTATAAAGCATTAAATAGATTGACACGGATCAGCCCGAAAATACATAAACAGATCGACACGGATCAGCCCGAAACCACGGAAGATCCCGTAAGCATGATATTTAATTGGCCCGATATCACGTGTCGGCTAGCCGGTCGGCTAAGCCGCTATAGTCGACTATTATCGACTACGGCTATAGTCGGTCGGCTAGCCGACTACAAGCCGACCGAACCCATCCCTAATTTATAGTATAAAAATAGCGTAAATTGAAAAATGTCACAATTACATTAAAGTGTACGATTTGCTCTATCTTTTAAAAGAAAATTAGACATTAATTATTATACTAGTTCAAGAGAAAAGCGTACCGAAAGTTGATATTATCCGCAGTAAACTCGGATTTTCATAAAAAATTTATCATATGCGACCCTTATCAATGTTTGATTTTACTAGTATGATTATCCCAAGGTTGCGATCTTCATAAATTCACCTCCATTAATGTTAACAGATAAGCAGATTACGGAAACACTAATAAAATACATGTAATTTAAATAGTTACAACTTTAAATCAAATGGTCTATCGGTTGATGTAAATCAATTGCCAAGATAGCTTATTTATATAATTTAAAGTCCTTTTTGGAAATGTAACGTTTCACTAACAAAAAATCCTTGTAAAACCTTCTATATTTACTGCGCAAAAATAATCATTAACCCCCAAGAACGTCATTTAGAAGCGGATGATTTTATCATTTATTGACAATACTAGTTATATTAACTATATGTAAGTTCTAAAAGCTGGATTGAGATGTTACATGTAAGATTTAACTTAAAGGATTTTATGCATACCATTTGACATGCTATTATATAACAATAAGCTTGTACTAATGTTCATATTTTATGTAATCTGAACATTATAGTGTTAAAACATTAGTTAAATAGTAGGTCGATAATATGTATGAATATATTAGTATTATCGTTTCACTAATTATATGGATAAAGGTAGTTTCGCTAATAATTTATTCGCATATTGAATTTTTTGATCAATTTGGTTTGGGTTTATTAGTAATAAATATCAATTTACCACGTACGTACGTATATTGCATATCTATCTATATGTTTTTAAATGTGACAAATTCTTTTTTGCGTGTATTTATTAGTTTGCAAGCTGGCTATACCAAATTAAATAGCAAATTTTATATATCGCATCTTGAGTATCCAGATTAGTGATACGGGTCGACCCCGGCCCAACGGCCGGGTCGATGGGCGGGTCGATGGGCGGGTCGACCCTCAGCTGGCACCTTTGTGGGCCGGGCCGGTTGAAAAGAGAAGTGTTAGAATCATTTCTCTTTTACAGCTGTTTTCATAAATTCTGGGACACCTGATAAAAATTTGCCGAAT